TTTCAGGGATATGTACATGGAATTTGCAGCAATAGATGCAAACATTACAGAGAAGCATTCGGGGATCTCACTAAAGTGAATGCCCTGATGGGGAAGAGTTCTTTAGATGGCGTCTCCAAATTCTAGCCCACAGCCTTTAACAGTAACATGATAGCCTTCAAGTACAAATGTGGAACAAAGGGAGGGAAGGTGGTGTCTTCCCAGGATGAGCAAAAGAAGCAGACTCTGCCGTTAGGCTCACAGGCCCTGGAACCCCGCATGGCTCCCCACCTCAGTGGGGTTTTACGCAGAGCAGGGCAAAGAACTAAGGGTGCATCCAGCTTGCAGTGTTCCTTCTTCCTCAGCAAGAACTCAGAAGGAACCTTTGACAGCTAAGAATAAGGACACTCCAGAAAAGCGACTGTAAAGTACATTTCTATATATCAAGTGCTCTTTTATCCTTGGCAACTATACATGCTTGAATGAAGGAGGAATAAAAAAAAGTCAAACGAATGTGAAGGCAGAGATGGCCTTGAGTCGCCAAGCCAACGTCATTTACCAAACTTTTGGGACCAGATAGCATAAATGACCTCACTCTCTTCTCCCATGAGCATGAGAAGGAAGTCTTAGCTGTCATCTTTCTGGTTGCAATGGATGGAATTTTGCCACCACCTTGGAGACAAATTAGGAACCGTACTACATTAGCAGCTAGCGTATTATTCAAAACCCAAGGATCCTGGTGGTTTTTTTTTAAGGAAATGCTTTATACTGGTTTATTAATTCTATATAGCTAAACTGAAAATATCCACTTGAGTGAATTACAGACATTAGCTCTGCCATGCTATGCCATATACACAGCTATGCCATGACAGACATACAGAGTCCAGGCCAAGTCTATTTAATTCATTCAACTAACATGCGTGTGAGACATACTACAAGTCCAGAGTTTACTCCTCCTGGTAGCGTCTGCTCCCAAGGAGTTACCGGTGAGAGCAGACACAACAAGAGTTAAACTATGTTGCAGGGGCCTGTGTGGATTAGAGAAGATTCCAGTTTTCCTCCGCACTCCACAGGGCATGTGGTCTGGGTTTGGAGTGCTGGCCTCCAGAGGCAGTGATGTCTGATCAGTGTTCTGAAGGATGAACAAGGGTGGGCTGAGCAAAGACAGTGGGGGGTGGAGGGGGTCTCTGCAGTCTGGGGGGGCGTGACGGCCCCTGTTCTGTGACGGGGCTCAGGGGTACCCACTGGGGACGGAGCCCTGGTGCCCACCCTCCAGAGGGTCCAGCGCTCGGGTTACATTACGCTGATCACTGTTAGTGTGGCGGAAACCTCTGGTGTGTGGACGGCAGCATCTGCTACTAGGAATGCCAAGCAGCCCCTTGCTACCACTGGGAGAGGTGGCGTTGAATGGAAGTCTAAATCTTGCTAGGCTTTCCAAAGAATGCCGACTCTGTTTAGAACCTGTCTTCATTATTTGCTTCCCTGATGTCTCAGATGGTAAAGAATCTGCCTTCAATGTGGGAGATCTGGGTTTGATCCCTGGATTGGAAAACCCCCTGGAGAAGGGAATGGCCACCCACTCCGGTATTCTGGCCTGGAGAATCCCACGGACAGAGGAACCTGACGGGCTACAGTCCATGGGGTGGCAAAGAGTCAGACAGGACTGAGCGACTTGCATTCACTCACTCACAAGAAGTACAGACCACCAAAAGGAGCGGGATGAACCAGTGTAGAAGAGGCTGGGCTCTGGGGTCGGATATCAGGGCTTGAGTCCTGGATCGCTCACTGACAGATGTGATTTCCTGGGCAGGTCCCCCAGCTGTATTGGGGTGAAAAACGAAGTGCAGGCCAAGAGGCTGGAGACAGAGCTGACCTGTGGTGGTGACTGCGTGACTGCTCCATCCTTTAGACAAGCACATGCTTCCCTCGGAGCAGAGGACAGGACCACCCACCCTCGTCTAGAGCAATCAGGGCAAGCTTCCCTGTGGAGGTGATGTATGGGCTGAGACCGGAGGCTGTGAACAGGAGGGTGTGCGTGGAGGCTGGGAGAGAAAGGAGAGCTCAGGTGGGAAGGTAACACGAAGGGCAGTTTTGCTTTGGTTCTTTTTTTTTTTTCTTGGAAAAGTCTTGCCATTAGGATCTGAAGTATGGGCAAGCCTGAAAATCATCAAAGTTAAAAATAAGTTGAATTAGTAACAATTAATAATTGTGCAAAGAAGCTGAATAGATACTTCTCCAAGAAATGTATACAAATGAATAGTCGACAAGCTGATTTAAAAAAAAAAAAAGATGCTTGCCATTGTATTGTTAGAGAACTGCCGGTCGAACCCAGAGTGAGACAGCATCTCATACTCCCTGGTGAGGCTGCAGATAAGTCCCTGCTCACTGCTGCTGGGACAAAAAATGGCACAGCCCCCTGGGGACCCAGCCCTGCAGTCCCTCGCTGGTTTAGACAGAGAGTTACCGTATCAGCCGGAAGTTTTTCTCCTGGGCACACATGTTAAGGAACGTGGAACAGTTGTGCAGACGAGAAACTGTACACAAACATCCATAGAGCTGTTTACACCAGTTAAATGATAGAGACTACTCAAATGTCTGTCAGAGGAAGAATGGGGAGCAAACTATCCTTTATCATATGAAGGAATACTATCCAGCAGTGAAAAGAGATGTCCTGATCCAAACAATAATACAGGTAACCTTGAAAACACTGTGCTAAGTAAAAGAAGCCAGTCAGAGACCACAAGTTGTATGACTCCATTCATACAAAATGTCTGGAGTAGACAAACCCATAGACAGAGAAAGTAACTCAGTGGCTGCTTGGGGCTGAGTGGAATAGTTTGAAATATTAGGACAAAGGGTTAATAACTAGAGGATGGGGGTTTCCCTTTGTGGTGATGAAAACGTGCTTAAATTAACTGTGATTATGACTGCCCATATATGAACCTATGCTAAAGCCCATTGAACTGTATACTTTAAGTGGGTGTATTGTATGGTATGTGAATTATGTATCTATAAAGTTGGTTTTTTTAAAAAATATTAACTGAATTAGATTTGGTCAAAAAGTGTTTTCACTTTGGAAAAGAAGCAAACTTCATTGTTATTACTTCCTCTCAGCCAAATCCACTTGCTTATTTTACATGGGGTTTAGTATGACGCCCAAAGTCATAGCTTTTCATCAATATATGATATTAACTGAAAATAAAATTAAAGCAACATATAAGTTATTCTTTACATATAGTTGTTAGATAATTCCAAAAAGCTTTTCACAAAAATTAAAAATGAAAGTCAAAATTGTTAGCTTAGTTTTTTTTGGAAAATGTGCTAAATATTACACTTTTGGATTATTATAATGATGCTATCATTTATCATTTTAACTCATATTTAGAAAACACTAGAAGCCATGGCATTTAGAGAGCTTATACTCTGTGATAATTTATATAAACTCTCTTAATCCCCTTATCTGTCATGATCCCCTTTCTCCTCACAATTTTTAGTACTCTCTACTCTAACCTATCATCTTGGTTTAACCTTGTTAAGTCTCTCACCTCTGTTTTCTAAAGAGCCATGTTGACTCAGCCAGTTAGAGACATCAGTTGAAGTCATCCCACATACATGTAGATCAAAACTCTTTAACAGACTTCATGAATATTAAAAGTCAAATTGTTGTCTTTTGTTAGAGTGAACTGCACACTAGAAGTATGTGCAATTATTGTATGGTTACAGCATTCATATTAAACAGGATTATCACTAAGTTTGTGTACTTTGAAACATGAAACAAACATTGTTATTTCTCAGAGTAAATTCTGTTCCTAAATTCAGAACAAACAGTTTCTACAACAAATACCAAATTGAATCAAGGAAACTCAAGGTGCATTGTGCACTAAAACTTGATACTAAAAGCTACATTATATGTTATCATTCCATTCCAGCAAGAACCACAAAATAAAAACCACATATTGCAGATTCGTGTATTTACTAAGACCTACTCATGGGAAAAATGACCCAGATATGCCCTCTACCTTTTATATGAAAAGGCAAGTATAATTCAGTCAACTGTCAGAGACCTTTGCTTACTAGATATCTCCCTAAAGAAACAAAAATCTGCCACACGCACACACACACACACACACGTGTGTGTGTGTGTGTGTATAACAAGTTTACATATACTGTTTATATGTAACAAGTTTTAGAGTTCTCAACTTGAGTTAGAAGTGAAATAGTGGAAATATAGTGGCAATTTAAAGTGCTAAATATCTATAGAGGACAAAACATTTTTATTGTCAATACATATGGCCAAAAGTGTTTGTTTGTTTGTTTTTTAAACCTAACAGTGGGTGGTGTTTCTAGTCAGGGAATAAAGTCAAAATATAAACAAAGCATCTTGATACTCAAACATATCAGACTGCATCCTTCTGCTGGAATTAGTCAGACAATCAGAATGTGCAAACATGATAATAGCAAGCTATATGTAGAGCAAATAAAATTATGAAAAATCATTCTAAGCGAACCATCTAAAATCAGGCCACTAACATAATAGAGGTGAGGTGACACCTGGTTTTAGGGAAGGGCCCTCAAATCTGCAAGTGCAGTTTCCGAGACAGTCAAAGGATGTGATTTTACCCAATCCTTCAGTTAGAAAGGATTTGGCATTTGTGATGTTATTTTAATATGCTCTGTATTCCCAGTTCACAGACTTTACTTCAAATGAGTCTAGTTGTAAATGAGAATAGATGTCTTAACCATCCAAAATGAAGAAAAACAGCAATTTTCCTCACAATTTCCCACTATAATAAACAAAAATATCTCAAAGGCAAAATAGAAGCATGAGCAATTTCCAAAGTCAGAATTCCAGTTTCTTCTAAGCCATTTTGCCACTACACTGAAACAAATCAGGTCTAACAACACATACTTCTATCAAACTGGCCAGAACGCCATCGTGGGCCCCACCTGCAGTGACCACTGCAGGAAACCTGGGGCTATGGCTGCCTCTGCGTAAAGCTCTGGCCCCCTCCCCTCCACAGAGGAGCCTGCTGCGGACCCCCGCCCCGGGGGCGAGACCGGAGCCCTGCACGCGGGAGCGGAGGGGCAGAAGAGACAGGCCCTCATAGAAATTCTGGAGCATTCACTGCATGCCAGTCGCTTCCTGTGGAGCCAGACGGAGCCAGAGGTGCACAGACGGAGGTCCGCTCTGTTTCAGGGGACGGACGTGCAGCACAGAGTGACCCACACGGGCAGCGTGCCCTGGCAGACGGTGCCGGGTTGCTCTGGGCTCTGGGTCAAATCATGACCCTCCCTGGAGACCTGGAGAGACTCTATCTTCTGGGACCCCTAAGCATGCTCTTATTTGGAAATGGGGCCTTTGCAGATGGAGTCAGGTTAAGAGGAGGTCCTTCCCGTCCAATCCTACTAAACCCTCATCCAGGGAGACTGGTCTCCTCATGAGAAGGGAGAGATACAGAGACAGATTTGCATGGAGGGAAGATGCTGCGAGATGGAGGGAAAACGCTCCGAGATGCCGGATGAAGAAAAGGGAGCGATGCTTCTCTCAGCCAAGGGGCGCCAAGCATTACCAGCCACGCCTGAAGCCAGGGGAGGGGCAGGGCCCAGACTATCCCCTGCGGAGAACGTAGTCCTGCCAACACTGGTTTCACACGACCAGCTTCTGGAGAGGAAGGCGGACGCCTCTGATGTTGCAGGCGGCACAGTTAGAGGTACTTTGTGACCAAGCCCCAGGAGACCCTAGGCTGTGGGAGAGCCTGGTAGGGACCAGAGCTGATCTCAGGGGAGGGAGCGGGGAAGTCATTAAAGACTCCCTGAAAACGTGATGTGGGAGTCTGAGGCCTGAAGGAAGAGTTGGGGGGGAGCAGATAACGGAGTCGGGGGTCAGACGTGTTTCCAGACACGAACCAGCCTGCTGCGAAGGCTGTGGAAGCCCAGGCGTCTGGTGCACTCCAGCCAGGAGGAGGTGGGTGACGATGGTACCCGGACAGTAAAGCCTGCCTGGGGAAGGAGGCAGGCAGGCCGGCAAGGATGTAAAGGCCTCAAGGGCTGAGGAACAAAAGCACTCAGCGCGACTCTCTTCCTGCAGGTTCCATCACCCTGGAACGTTCTATCATTGGCACCTGCAAGGAGGCAAGTATTGCTCACTCAGTCACGTCTGACTCGTTGCGACCCCACGGACTGCAGTCCGCCAGGCTCCTCTGTCCATGGGATTCTCCAGGCAAGAATACTGAGTGGGTTGCCATTTCCTCCTCCAGGGGATCTTTCCCACTCAGGGATCGAACCCAGGTCTCCGGCTTTGGAGGCAGATTCCTTACTGTCTGAGCCACCAGAGGAGCCCCTTGGCACCTAAAGCTACCCTTATAACTAGTGTGCCCAACAGCAGAGACCATTCTGGAAAGGACCACCACATTCCTGCAGGCCTCTGTTCGCCAAATAAAAGCAGGCATGTCCTGGACACCGAGGCGTCAGTGCGTCTGAGAACAACTCCCGGCTTGCTCCTGGAGCCCTCACGGGGGCTGGAAGCTGGTGGGCCTCCCTTCCTCCTGGGGAGTGAGAGCCAACCACCCATCATCACTTGTAAACTCTCACCAGCCTCTGGGGCCATGGGGCCACTGCGCGCACGAAGGCCACTGTGAGTCAAGGCCGTGGTGGTTTGTCCGTCTTCCTCCTCTGCAGGCTGGTGTTATGGAAGGCTGCCACTTGAACTTCGGGCTTTTCATAAACAGCCTGCCCTGTTTGCCCACCAGCATGAGCAGTCAATAGCAAGCACAAATCTCCCTCGTTATGGTCTCACAGCCTTCCCTAACACAGGTTTGCCCAGAAACATCGCTCACACACTTCTTTTTAATTGACCTCACGGGGGTTACATGTCCAGATTCTAATACCCTGAATTATTTCATTTTAACCTAGGATCAGCCGTCCTAAAACTACATTCATCTGTGCATTCATGTTCTATACTGACCTTTTTATTTGAACTTCCAGGGGGCAAAAAACCTGTGGCTGCAAATACAAATCAATAATGCTTCGCTAGGAGTTAAGTTTAATTATTTTGTTATCGCCTCTGTTTCCCATTCTCTTGGCTGTCTTCAACCTAACCATCCAGGCTTGCTATGCCTTAAAAAAAAATCCTCTAAAGACCAATATTGAACTAAAAAGAAAAAGAAAGCTGTATAAACAAAGTCCCACTGACACAGTATATAAAGCTACCTACAGTAAAAAATAAGAATTTTGTCAAATATATCAATATAAGTGTAAGAAAAAAATAGAAATGTTGTAATAGATGATATCCAGGAAATATATAGTGCATAAAATATATGTATTAAAATTGACATCTCTCTTTTCCCACTCCCCCCTTCCAAGTAGCACTTCCCTTGCTACCTAATATCACATTTGTCACTTTATTATATAGGAAGGAAATATGACAGAGTGATTTGCAGAAAAAATGTTCACAGGCCTGATTCTCTAAATCCAACTCAAATACTAGCTGTGTGACCATCACTAAGTCATTCCATCTTTCGCATCATCTTGAAGTGAAGTGGAGGAAAGTCGCTCAGTCATGTCCGACTCTTTGTGACCCCATGCACTGTAGCCCACCAGGCTCCTCCATCCATGGGATTTTCCAGGCAAGAATACTGGAGTGGGTAGCCTTTCCCTTCTCCAGGGGATCTTCCCAACCCAGGCATAGAACCCAGGTCTCCTGCATTGCAGACAGATGCTTTACCATTTGAGCCACCAGGGAAGCCTACCTCATTTGCAAATGGGAATAACAATACTTACCAAAATTAGAAAATAAAATGACAAAAATATATGTTTCTAATCTTGTTCCTTGGGGCCTCACACTTGGAGAATGTCCCATAAATGGAGGTCATTAGTAATACTCAGGGCTGCCCTCATAGCTCAGTTGGTAAAGAATCTGCCTGCAATGCAGGAGGCCCTGGTTCGATTCCTGGGTCGGGACGATCCCCTGGAGAAGGGATAGGCTACCCACTCCAGTATTCTTGGGCTTCCCTCATAGCTCAGCTGGTAAAGAATCCGTCTGCAATGAGGGGAGAGCTAGGTTCGATCCCTGGGTTGGGAAGATCCCCTGGAGACAGGAAAGGCTACCCACTCCAGTGTTCTGGCCTGGAGAATTCCATGGACTGTATGGTTCACGGGGTTGCAAAGAGTCGGACACGACTGAGGAACTTTCACTTTCAATAACACTCATAATTTATAAACAGAATGTAGTCTGTAAACTGCACTTTTATGACATCAGAAGAGAACACACATATGTAATAATTTGGTTTACCACAGTTATGTGACTTACCAGGGCAGAGGTGGTGAGGGAGTTGTTATTACCGTTTTCCTTACAGAGAAACGCTGTACTGAAACGGAAATCCAGGACAGGGGAATGCTATTACGAAATTCCATATTTTTCCATTTTCTAATATGTATTTGAATAACATGGTTCAATAATTTTGTAATTAGAGAGTCTATAATAGATACTATCTGTGGGTTATCGACTTTTTGAAATCTGTTGTTGAACAATAATATAGCTATGATTATTTTGTGTTTACCATTAGTCAGGTCATATGAAAAGCATTTTACACAAGGTCATTTAATTAATCCTCTCTGCAGCAAGGTTGGCAGCCATTGTTATCCCCATTTTACAGATGAGGTAACGGAGGTGGGACTTGTCAGTGAAACACAGGCTGCAAAGGGCAGGCCCAGGCTCAAACTGCAGGTTGGTGACCGCAGAGCCCATGATCCTGACCACCCCCCACTGCCCCTCCCTACATCTCACCCTCGGCCTTCAACGCGGGGGGCTACCGGGGAGCGAGTCCACCTAGGGCGTGACACAGACTCTATCAGCGGTAAAGACGTGCTTGTGTTAATATTAAACTGAAGTCATTGAGCAAGTCTAAAATACAGCAAGGCCATCAGTGTCGCAAAATGGTATTTTAGAAAGCCTAGACAGAGGAGCTGTGTCTGCAAGACCATGGGCGGTAGGACAAGGGATCACAGAAGAAAAGGCTATTAACCTAGAAGAAACAGTGGAGGAACCGTCCTGATTGTTAGCACTGTCTACAAATCCCTCCTCCATCCTGATGCCCATCTCTGCCATCCATCTAGGGGAGGCCCCACACGCCCTTAAAGGTGTCTCCAGCACCCTGGAGGAGAGGGGGATGACAGAGGATGAGCTGGGTGGATGGCATCACTGACTCAATGGACATGAGTTTGGGCAAACTCCGGGAGTTGGTGATGGACAGGGAAGACTGGCGTGCTTCAGTCCATGGGGTTGCAAAGAGTCAGACACAAGTGAATGATTGAACTGAACTGAACTGATATGCTATCTCCATATATCCATTTATACATATAACCATATACTATGTAAATATATTTATACATTGTATATTGCTATTTATAATGTATGTATATATGTGTGCATGCTATAAATACAGGTTATGATACATAATATGTACTAGACACATTTTATGCTTGTTTTCAAGACTCAAAATATGACTATATAGATATTTAACTAAATCCAAATATTTGTGTTAGCAAACATATCAGGAAAACATACAGATCATTTAATAGAATCTCCTCCTTTACAGAAGAGATTTTAGTGATTTTAAATGCTTCTCCAAAAGATATGAGATATGAGCTACGGGCACAAACTGGGCTCATCTGTGGGAATTGCCTTCTTGTAAACGGAAGACATTGGGAACATCACCTAAAGATACAGCAAAATATTTCCAACTTCAGCCCTGCTCCATTATACAAATTTCAGGGAACTATAATATATATATATTCATAATGAATGTAGGAGTCCTACAAAAAGAAAGAACATGTGAAAAAGATGGAAAATTATGTTACAGTCTGCCAGTTTTCAGACTGTACTTTAATCTTAAGGGTATTCAGAATATGTTTATAGCATTATATCGTTTTTAGAAAGTAAAAGATTCGTGTTTTACCAATGATGTGTGTTTGTGTTAAGTCACTTCAGTCGTGTCCGACTCTTTGTGACCCCGTGGACTGTAGCCCACCAGGCTCCTCTGTCCATGGGGATTCTCCAGGCAAGAAGACTGGAGTGGGCTGCCATGTCCTCCTCCAGGGGGTCTTCCCGACCCAGGGATCGAACCTGTGTTTCTTGCCTCTTGCGTTGACAAGCCGGTTCTTTTACCACTAGCGCCACCTGGGAAACCTGAATGAGTTAAACAGGCCTTTTGTCATTCACTTAAAGACACCTTACTGATACACTTGGAGCAGACAGTAAGTCACCAAAGTTATCCCACATGGAGGCCTTTTCAACTCTGCTTCATTTATAAGGAAGAAGGCTCACCCTGTGGCTCTGACAGCCCGATTCTAAACTGATCCTGCCCCAGTTCTCACCGCCCAGGGGGGTCCACGCCTGTTTAAAGGGCACGTTCACGCCCTGACCGAGCCAGGAAATGGAAGCCTCTGACCTCAGCACCCCCTGACCCCCTCACTGGTCACCCGTCACACACCTGTGTGTCCTCGTCCATAACTGGAGATGCTCCTACGACCTCACAGAGGTGGGGAGGGGCGGGGGATGTTACAGATGGCACCGCAGGGCCTCCTGATGTATGGCAGGGGGTCCGAGCTGAGCCCGGAGGAGTCAGAATTCAGGGCAGCTCCGGGCTGCATCAGAAGGAAGCTGAGTTTCCAGCTTTCTGTAGATTGCTTGTGAGGACAGAACTGTGTCTTGTCTTCTGTCCTAGGGAAAAGGCCACAAGAGAAAACTAAAAATACTTCGGGGGGAGGATCTGGTGAGTCCCCGAGGCTTTGCAGATTCAGACAGGGAGTGGGGAAGGTCAGGGCCGAGCTCACCCGTCCCCCCAGCACAGACCAGTGAGTGCCCGCAGCCCAGGGAGGGCTGAGGGAAGGCAGGGCGGCAGCAGCCTCTGCAGCCTGGCGACCCCGGGGCCTCCCCGCTGGCCCCCGTCAAAGGGGATGCTTCACTGACACACACACTGCTTTCCTGACCCCAGAGCTTGACGGCACCCCTCCTCTCTAACAGCCGCTGCTCCTGGCTCCCCAGCCCCGCTCGCTGTCCGCAGTTTTATATCGTGTCTCTGGGACTCCCTCTCCAGCTGCCCCCCAGGCATCGTGATACGTATGCCATTGCTTCCGTGGAGGAAAGGTCTTCCCCGGGCAGAATGCACCACCAGGCTGGTCCACACGGCTGACTGCCGCGGGCCAGGCGACGTGGGGAGGATGCTAAGAAGGGAGGAACGGAGGCTGCAGAAGAGAAAAGCCAAGCATCCGCCCGGTTCTGCAGGCAGGCCGGGCCCAGGGGGGCGCAGAGAGTGCCCAGCTACCCAGGGGGTGCTGCCCAGAGAGGTTCTCCTCCTACACGTGACAGGTAAGACAGGCCACATCGAGCTGTGAACCCCGCTTTGACGCAAGTGATTATCACAGCTCTCTCATGATTCCAGTTGGCAGCAACCGACAGAGCCCATCCATTTGGCGGGCTGCTTAATTATCCTGGGATCCACCCCCCCCCCACCCCCAACCATCAGAATAGGCACTGGAACAGGATCATACAGACGTCTCCATGCAAATTATCCCTCAACGTTTATTTTGTGAGAGGAGGAGAAAAATGTTTGATTATAGTAAAACAGATTTGGGAAGCTCTTGGGAAACCCAAATCCACTTTGGATAACAATCATTCCAGTTTTCCCCACTTGCTCTCATTGCCTCGTTGTTAACCAGCGCGTGACTCATCAGGTACGCCCCCTAAGAATAATGAAGATAATTGTGAATAACGGGGGGAAATCTATTTGAGTTAGGAAAACAGTAGGCTTTTAAGAGTAAACTTAGAAGAACTTCAGTTTTACTGCCTGCAACAGTGTAAGATTATATAAAGATCATTGTTGTTGTTCAGTGGCTAAGTCATGTCTGACTCAGTAGCTAGCAAAACATATGGTCCATTAGAAACAATGCAGATCTCTTTCTGTGTGTTTGCTTTATTGTAGCAAAAGGCACATAACGTGAGAGCTGTCCTTTTAACAAATATTTCATTGTACACGCCAGTATTGTTGACGACAGCCGCAGCGTGGTACAGTGGACTCTAGAGCTGTTTCCTTTTACAGAACTGAAACCCACGTTCCCCACCCCACAACCCTGGCAAGCACCTCTCTACTTTCTGCTTCAATGAGTCCGACTACTTTAGATACAGCATGTAAGGAGTAAAATCATGTGGTGTTTGTCTTCTAATGACTGGCTTATTTCCCTTTACTATGTCCTCAAAGTTCATCCACACCGTAGCGTGTAGCAGGATAGCCTTCTTTTTAAGGCTGAACAATGTTCCGCTATATGTATGTACCAGTTTCCTTTCTGTCAAGGGACACTTAGGTTGTTCCCACATCTTGGCTATTGTGAGCAATGCTGCAGCGAACATGGGGTGCAGACATCCCTTCAAGATCCCGGTTTTAACCCCTTTGAATATGCATTATACACTGCGAAGTAGGACTGCTGGGTCACACAGTAGGTCGTTTAAATTGTTTTGAAGAATTTCTATCTTGTTTTCCATAGTGTCTGTACAAGTTTACACCAACAGTTAAGCAGGTCCATTTTTAATGGCTAGATACAAATGATGCATGTTTAGAATGTTGCTGAAATTAAAACAAATGCCCCAAGTTTACTTAAAAGAGCTCAGGAATATATTTAAATAATTTTTTTTTGCACAAATTACTATTGAATCTTCTCAAATTCTAAATCAGTAAAGTTTAAGTTTAGTCCAAGAATGTATTCTATCTTGGTATAATACATTCTTGTCTTGAAGGTTATTCTGGCTTTATATCTAAGCTAAAGTTGTTTAGGCACAAGAGGATTCAACCAAATTCTTATAGATATAGGTCTGTTGGAGACATACCAATTGATTAATAAAAAAAAAGACAGGGAGAGATAGAGGGGGGAGAAAAGGTTATATTGGCCACAGATGTGAGACTGGTAATAGCTCTGTTTGCTTATCTTCAAAAATGTGCTGCTTTTTTTGTTTTTGCAGATATGTGGGAAAGCCTTGGGAAATAATAATTGGGTTAGAACTTTTTCAATCTTTAACATTAAAACTCAAGAGACCGTATAGAAAATGCTGAATTTCTGTCTGTTTCACCATTTAACAGTTCCTTTGGACTAGGAGCACTGTGTGTCAGCAGCGGATAGAAGGAAGAGGAAGCGGAGGGTGGGGGAGAGGAAGGGGGAGGGTGGGGGAGAGGAAGGGGGAGGGTGGGGGAGAGGAAGGGGAGGGTGGGGGAGAGGAGGGGGAGGGTGGGGGAGAGGAAGGGGGAGAGGGTGGGGGAGAGGAGGGGGAGGGTGGGGGAGAGGAAGGGGAGGGTGGGGGAGAGGAAGGGGGAGGGTGGGGGAGAGGAAGGGGAGGGTGGGGGAGAGGAGGGGGAGAGGAGGGGGAGAGGAGGGGGAGAGGAAGGGGGAGAGGAAGGGGGAGGGTGGGGGAGAGGAGGGGGAGGGTGGGGGAGAGGAAGGGGAGGGTGGGGGAGAGGAAGTGGAGGGTGGGGGAGAGGAAGTGGAGGGTGGGGGAGAGGAAGGGGGAGAGGAAGTGGAGGGTGGGGGAGAGGAGGGGGAGAGGAAGGGGAGGGTGGGGGAGAGGAAGGGGAGGGTGGGGGAGAGGAGGGGGAGGGTGGGGGAGAGGAGCTCAACATCAACCCACTGGTAGCTTCACGAGCAAATTAATTAGGACTGGAAAACGGAAGGATTGGCCAAGCAGAGAGCTTACCACCAAGTCAAGGCTAATTCCAGGAGACGTTGAAGTTATTTCTACCATCAATAGGTATTCAAACTCTGTCTTTATGAAGGTGAAGGAGACTTCCTTCAGTTGGGATTATCACCGGTAGCATCAACAGGACTCAGGACACTTCAAACAGTAATATATAGACTAGACCCCAACTGTAAGACTCCTCACTTCACACCTCATCGTCATCATCATCAACCACTAAACTGCAGACTATATCTTTCCAATTAGCTCATTTTCACTAGATTCGAAATCCTGTATCTTTGATGAATTGTAGGGGATAATGCATAAAAGGCTTGTTAACTCAATTTCTAATGTATAACAAGTTCTCCATAAAGACATTTGATCAGCAGGAGCAATACCATTATCTGTGAACCCTGAGATCACTGCAGCTTCCAGTGTTAGAAGATCAATTGTCCTTGGCCTCAGTTTCTCCTCAGGCTTCATCGTGGGTTGCTGGCCACAGGAACCTGCTGCGGCCGGCAGAGTTCTAACTCTCACAAGCAACAGAAGCGGGTCTTGGCTGATGGGAGCCGAAAATAAATGTTTGGGGATATCCTAAAATCCTGGAGAACCAGACTTGGGGGATGGGGTGCTATATGGCCCAAACGAGGCTGCAGGACTGACTGAGGACATGACCGCCCCCACAGGAGCCTCCGACACAGGCGGGGGCCCCTCGGGCTCCCCTCTCCCTGAGAAAGGAAGACAGTGAAGCCGCTCAGGCCTGTCGGACTCCTTGCGACCCCGTGGACTGTAGCCCGCCAGGCTCCTCTGTCCGTGGGATTCTCCAGGCTAGAGTGCTGGAGTGGGTTGCCATCCCCTTCTGCAGGGGACCTTCCCGACCCAGGGATCGACCCCGGGTCTCCTGCACTGCAGGCAGATGCTCTACCGTCTGAGCCGCCAGCCAAGCCACTCTCCCTGCTTCCCTGGAAAATGAAGGGCGGTTATCCCTCCCTCCATTATTTCGGTTTCCCAGAAGCATGGCCTTTTTTTTGTGAAAGAAAACACATTTTGCAGAACAGAACACTCAGACACAAAAAATTCAAGTCATCTTCCTAAGGCACAAAATCTGTGGTTCCCAAGTCCCATTTTGACACGCTTTCTACCATACACACTGTGAAAGAAAATACAGACGGAAAACAAACAACTGATGTTTGATGAATAGAAAAGAGGCTCCACAGTGACTCTGATTTTCTTTAAAAGAAAAAGAAACCACTTAAAATATTACAAAAAGCGCCTGCTGCCAATGCTGTGTCTATGCACCACTGCCGTGGGTCGGCATTTTTGTGGGATGTGTCACTGTCACAGTGGTCATTCACAGGTGAGAAGCAGAGGCATTTAGAAAGACTGAACAAACAGAACAGAACCCAAACCCGAGCCAAATCCCTGCGGACACTCTACACCAGGTCACCGGCCCATTGATCAGAGCTGCCCCTGTGACTCCTCCATGAAACACAAAAAAGGAGGAAGATGCGTTCAGGAGGAAGAAACGAACTGCTCCCAAACAATGCAGAAGATGAGCGGTGAACCAGAACCAAACGTGGGTCTCTCCTTGTCTGTAAGCACTCCAGCTGGGCTAACTTTAACTCTAAATGTATTAATAGGCCCGTACATTTCTTGAAAGGAAATACTAACACGATCACCTACATAAACTACTAAGAACAATGGTGGTTACTTAACGATCATTTTCACAGAAGAGCGAATCATCATTTTCACAGGAAGAGTGAATCATTCCCTACTCTTGCCGTTGGGTTAAGGAATGGCATGAACTGGACCCTGGTTTGGAGAGGTGGGGATGGTGGAAGATACCCCATGGGGGGAAACTGCAGGAGCAAATGCAGAGAAGCAGAGAGAAGCAGGCCATGCCATCGAGGAAAGGGTGGCAGAGAAGGCGGTGGGGAGTGGCCCCTGAACCCCGCAGAGCACGAACGGGGCTGGACAGACAGCTGTCCAGGTAAGAAATAATC